ATCAACAACCTCCTTGGGCAACCTGTTCCAGATATTTTCCATCACATTTCCTTCCTGTAATTATCTTAATTATATAACAGCAATAAAACTGTGTCAAACACGTACTAACTGTCTAACACTTAAACAGAAACTCTAAGTATTTTCCACAAATCCTTCACCATTCTTTCAGCCTATTCCCACTATATCCCACTGCCAGTTCACAAATATTTTTCTGAAATCTCATTCCCATAACCTTGCCCTGTTTGGCACAGTTATTCCGACTCAATATCATGTTTCTTCATCTGCTAAAGTCAAAAGGCAATGGGGCTTACTATGATGTCATCTAATTTCCTCTCTGAACATTACAGCACATGCAGCATTTACCATGAAACAGGAAAAGGAATTTATTCCTTGCACACCAGAAAAGAAGGTCAAGCTGCAAAAATGAAATGTGATGTGGAGATCTGACAAAGTTTTCTAAGGTTGGAGAGACTTATTTCTAAGTGTTTTGGATTAACTCCAAACATCCTAGAAGTTATTTTTCCATTAAACTATCAAAATAGTAATGCCGACATGGATCCAAGTTGAACTGTGTAAGTTTAAAACTACAGGTTAAGATTCCTTTCAATTCAAATTGCCATATTTTAGTATTGTTAAATAAGAGAAGGTTAAAGTTAGTAATATCACCAGAAATATGAATGAGCCAGAGTAGCAGAGGGAAACTGGGTACATTCAACTGACAAATCTGTACTGTGACATTGCAGGATGAAAATCACTTTGCAATTTTTACAACTTTTGTGTCTGCAAGCTGTTCTTGCAATCACAGCAGTAAGTGCTAGACATAGCAAGTTTCTGTTTTGCTCAGTTACTCTATACTTCCTATATTAACCTGGTAGGACTGGACGCAAACCAAAAGGGCCTTTCGTCGGGGAGATGCCACGGACGATACAGTCGAACAGAAAGCTGATCTGCTCTCCTTCAGCACAAGAAAGGAAAAAAACACCAGCCCCTGCAAGAAAGCACAATATAAATATGTGAATATCTGAAGCTATTTATTATTTAGCGATCAAAAGAGTATTAAGTGCAAGCCATGAAATCAACATGTTCTCCAGAGAAAAGAAAAAGAAAAAATTCAAGTCAGCAACGCACTCTTTCACAAATATACACATAAATTCAATAGCTAACTAATAACTTATGCTAATTTTCTGAGATTTGGGCAATTAGAACAATGCCCATATGCTCAACAGTTGTCTGGGCCTAAAATTTTGTAGATCAAATCTTAGCTATGCAAGTTTCAGGGACACTTAAAGTGTCCTCATCAAAATTATCCAAGTTAATTCTACTTTTACCTAATTTTAACCAAGAGCAGGTTTTTTATATCCCAGTGAATTAAGATTTGCTTATATTGCTGGATTATATTATACATTTTCCTAGACTAAGTCCTATGTGTCTATTATTAACAGAATGTAATACAACTCCACAGGTTGTCATCAGATCTTTACCCTTTGCTCAGCTCTGATATTTTGCTTTCCATTCATTAAGAACAGCCCCAAGCAAAATTAGAATAAGAATCACTAAATAAACAAACAAGTTCTGAGATGCATGACATATGGTTATATGGACAACACATGAGACTAGAAGTGCTCCTCAGAACGTTTTATTTGAGAATTATCAGTCAAGATATTGCTCATATCGGGGTGGGTGTGGTGGAAATCTACTTAATCTTTTTGATGACCTTAAAACATCAGGCAAAAGACCACCCCAGTAACCAGTGACTTCATGAAAAAAAATATATATATATAAATATATATATACATACACACACACACAAAGACAATAATCAGATACAAAAGGAAATTAAATTAGGCCTTGAAGAAGAGCTGCCAGCTCACCAAAGCCATGCACACTAGAAAATCACAATACCAGATCTTAGACCTGCAGTTAGATTTTGCACATAACTTCCCTAGGGACTTGGGCCTCTAATCTGGACTTATGTTTGACTTATGCATGTCTCTATCTAATTCTGAGTTGTATATATATTTTTGCCATATTTACTTAAAGCAGCAGAGCTAGTCTTGACCAGAATGCCTGCGTCCCCATCACTTTCCAGATATGCCCCGTCACATCCAACAGGATATTCACATTTCACTTAAGCAATAGTTAACTTTTGACTGCTTGACAAAGGGCTATAGTATTCAAAGAAAGGGGATAATAAAGACTGGACCACAAACCATATTAACTACTTAAGTAATTAGATAGAGCGAGCAAGCCATAAACTGACCACTCTAGGAAAAGCATATTCTAGTCCACACTCTTGTCATTCTCAACTTATATCACATCTAAGTTTCTGCCTGCACTGCTTAAATCTATTCAAGACAAGATTGTTAGCAGCAAATTCATAACTTGATTTGTCACTCCACCACATTTGTTCCTCTTCAGTTCTTACTGATCAAAACTTCTGCAGCCAAAGAAACAAAAATCCTGTTTCTGGTACAGTATATTTCATTTGGTGAACTCCTATAAATTCAACTGGAATTAGAATTCACTTACTGGTAGAAGTTAAATTTGTATTTAAGGGCTGGCTTGCCAATCATTTCTAGAGATAAGGTCTCAAACTTGAGACTGAGTGTAGACAAATATTAAAACACTAAGCTATGTTTAAGCAACTGAAAAGATGAACACCCACTAGTTCAGGAAACAGAGCAGCATGAAGCCTTCTTAGCTCCACACTTCTAGGGTACATTTTCTTATTACTGTTTTTAAAAACAAGTTTGTCCCACATTTCCTCATAGCACATATACACACCCTGGCTTCAGTATCAAAGACCATCTAAGTGATTACAACACTAATAATGCAATCTGACAGGTATGACAGTTTCTGGTGGTGACTCACTCACAGTCTTGTGCCATTTCCCTTCCCCAAGAAATGCCAAAGAGTCAGAGAACTCTGTATTAGAAAGAGCTGGGTGCAAAGTATGTATTCAGGAATTATTTGAAATTCAACTCTTCCTTTGAGCTGCCTTCTCCTCCCTCCACAGAGTAGAGGGAGCCTAGGGAAACCAGTTTGCCTAATCTTAGATGTTATGACTCTACCCCCATGAATCACACTGACACCAGAAGACATGCCTTTCTTGAGACAGCAGGGTAGCACAAGGCTTTGCTGGGCTCTGAACACACGACCTTCTCATCCCATGCACAATAAGCAAGCAGGATACAGAGACAACATAACAGAGGACATTCATGTCTCAGGCACAGTAATACACTACGTGGCCTGATAATTCAGCAGAATCCTACACACTGCCATTCAGGAAAAAAAATTCCTCAAATATTTCTGTACATAGGGAATATACCTGGACCACTTTGTCTTTCATCACTATTGCCAAGAATCTTATTTAAACTCTTAAGAGTCTCAACAAGCCTTTGACTTTAATGGAAAGAAAAAAGTAAATGTGTGCATGTGAACTGGCTGCTTAACTCAAAGGATAATTTCTGCAAAGAACTATCACACATTTTGAAATCACAAAACCAAATGTGACAGCATTTATATAACTAGTGCAAACACTGTGTGCACATGTGCACATGGATACAAATCCAGTACACACATACACATAAAATATTTCTTTATAGATTCTATTATTTACATGATCACCGTAATCACTTATTGACTCTCACAGGAAACATTTTCTTTTTTGTTTTGCTAGGTAGAACTAGATGGCAAGGGAAGGAACAAGTCTGGAGGTCCTTGCAAAAGACATCAGGTGAGATAAATGAATGTGAACTTAGGTTTAACTAAGTCACATTTTAAGAGCATGCATAAAAGCCAGCAACTACATTTCTTTTCTGCTTTCTTGAGAAAGCAGAGAAATTAATTACTAGAAATTCACATCTCAGTCATACGTTGGAACAGATTTGGTGCACAAGTATTTGGAAGCTGAGGAGTATGTGGTATGTGTCAGTGTAATACCATGCAGCTGTTTACTAGACTGAAGAGCTCACTCACTCACTCTCTCCATGGGGTAAGAGACTTGGCAAAGGCAGCCTGCAAGCACTTGCACAAGGCTGAAGCACTACACCAGTCCTCTGTGGCAGTTAGCAGTAAAGCATTGTACAGTCTCCCAAACTTTCAAGGGGAGTTGCTAATTTCATAAAACTTACAAATATTATTAAGTCTTGCTAATGTTTGATTTTAATTCATCATATTAAAAAAGCAAACCTGTGGACAAACTCATGCTGAAAATGTGCAATAACCAAAACTGACTTCAATCTCCATACTGTGTGTGAAAGCAGGGGGAAGAGGCAGTCCCTTCCCATGAATCATTACTCCTAACAGGTGCCAGACAATGCTAGAGCCTGAAGTCTTTTAGCTACAGGACAGGTACAAATGACGGCGGATCATGGTAATCATCATGTTGTCCAACCAGTATGTCTCAATCCTGGCCTTGAGCAACGACCTTAGAAGGTATCTCAGGCTACACAGCTCAGGCTGCTCTTCTCTCTGGTGAAAATGACAATGGGTGTCCCTATTATTGACAACTAAGACATGGGCATGACTACTAAAAAACAAGATGTTTGTTGTCTGCAGTAGGCCTAAGTAGGAGACAGCAACAGGAAAATAGCCTCACATAAACAAAACTTTTAATCCACATAGCCCAGAATCATTCCAGATGTTGCCCCAGTTCAACCACTTCTACTGCTTCTAATTTTCAAATAAACTCCCATTTGTTATAGGGCTCCTCCTCTTCTCCTTTGGCCCTTCCAGATATGCTGGTAGCCACTTCCACTATTCCAGAATGATTTTAAAAGCTGCTTGCAGAAGTCTGAGAAAGCAAGCAAGCAAGAAGCACCTAATTTCATCAAAACATCACAAAGATCACAGAATACTCCTGCTTATCTGCAACTTGTAGCAGCAGTATCTTTTGTTCTTTCAAAAGGCACCAAGGGTCCTACAAGTTCCTCTCTTCTAAGAGATGCTGTTAGAAAAACATGAGGCAGCTTGAAACTGGACTCTGGAAGCTAATCCTGAAGAACATTGGAGAGCCTGAATTCTCACAACATTAACATGTCCTTTTATTACCCTACTTGAATTTTTTCACGCTGACCTTCAAGTCAAGATTCTCCTGGCAACTGGTCATTTTAATCAGCCCACACTAATTGAGCTAGCAACTTATAAAAGTGAGAGGATCCTTTTTTCCAGCCTGTTATTCTAAGTAAACCTCTCAGTTGACTCCTAAATGGTATGTGTGATCGAGCTTTAGCTACAGAGAAGCTGGGGACAGGGGGAGACAATTTTTTCCCCAGAGGTTAACTTATTTGCAGCTGTCAGAAGAAGAAAGGCTTTTCTAATCTCTAGCAGTACAACTGTGATGATAAGAGCAAGAGAAGTTCAAAACCTAAATGCTCCTCTTTTCCTATTTAAGAATAAACAGGTATTGTCCATCTTAAAAATGCACCTAGATTTAATGTTTGAAATCTCAGCATTATCTCAGATGGTTTCCCTCTACCTGGATTGAGCACCAAAGCCTTCAAAGTTGAACAAAACCTGTAATGAGCAACTAATTCAAAAACATAATTATTTTTTATTTATAAAAAATTTTGTGAAGAAGCAAGGAACTGAAAGCTAAAACAAATTCAGATCTTTTTAGACCTCAGTTCTACCAGAGAAATATCCAAAAATAAGCTCTCCTTCTGTTTTGGGCTTCATGGCATTTTTTTCATGGAGAAAGGCAATCTAGCCACAAGATCATTGTTTCCTTATAGTAAGGTATTTATTACAGTGCTATTTAAAACTAAAATTCACTAATCCTCTACATTCAGAGTTTTACAGGAAGAATGGGAGAAGAGGTATGGTTTAACCTACAGGAAAGTAAAATTAATAAAAGTCTGCATAATGTCATGTGATGTTTCTATGACAGGGTAATGGAGAGTGCCTTCATTTAGGAATTAAAACAACTTATGTAATAACATATGTGATTATTTTTTTTCCTGGGCACTAATTTTTTGTCTTATTCCT